TACTGGCTTGAGGGGGTGGTGGGTATGGTTGTGGAGTAGCCTGAGGCGGGTACGAATGCGAAGGAACAGCCTGAGGGGGAGGCGGGTACGGCTGTGAAGTAGTGGCCTGAGGAGGAGGCGGGTATGGATGTGAAGAGTAGCCTGCCGGAGGAGGACATGACTGAAGAAGATTTTCAGGTGATTGAGTGGAAGGGTTAGGAGCTTGGGGATATGGCGCTGCTGAATTGGGAGGATAAGTGGAGAAAGGAGATGAGCAATTAGGAGGATAGGTTGTGCTTGGAGGTATTGGGGCTGAATCAGGAGGGTATGTGGTGTAAGGAGACATGGAAGATGAATATGGAGAGTTTGGCACGTTGGGAGGTGTGGCAGAATAGGTTAAGACAGCTTGGAAAGGAGATGAATTTGGTGGGGTTGTCATGTATGGAGGTGCAGAAGAGTAGGGTGTGGAAGCTGGGTAAGGAGCTGAATTTGGGGTGGTGATCATGTGTGGTGGAGATGCGGCAGAATAGGGTGTCGCACTCGGGTAGGGAGATGAATTGGGGGTGGCGCCACCATGTTTGGAGGTGCTGCAGAATAAGGTGTGGCTGTGACTACTTGGTAAGGAGCTGTAGGAAATGTTGGTGAGTTTTTATACGGGGGAATGGTGGAAATGGATGAATTTGGTGTTGCATATGGTGTTCCTGGTGGAGCATATTTTGTTGTGCTAGAAGAGTCCAATTTCTCCTGCACCTTCTCCTTCACAGCTGCAAACAGAAAGCAGTGGCCTTTAGACACACACATATATATATTTGCAGCATTAATGGAGAAGATTAGTGTAAGAAGCAAAAAATAAAACATGGAACAAAGGAGAAGATGAGAGTGGATGGAAGAAGATGATGTACCATGAACAACTCCAGAGAAGGAAATGGGTGCGCCTACCATGACTTAAACTCCTCCGTATGCTATCTTGATAACATGAGGCCTACTATATAAGGGGTTGGAGGAAACTGAGGGAGGAATTCTTCCATTGGATTGGAGAGTTGACTTAATCAAAGTCTGCTTCCTGGCACCAAGATCAGCAGTGGGCTGTAATTTAGTCGACCATTTGGTCTGGCACCATGTGCTGCAGTTGATCAGTTGAGAGGGAAGACTACGACTATATATCTAGCCCATTTTATAGACCACTATTTGCCAAAGTGCGAGTGCTACTGTGTATAGCCTATGTTGCATAAGAACGTATGTATACATCCTAATTCATATAATTGTCTACCTCTGAATCAACTTTAACACCACTACAATGATAGACCGATTACATAAAATTCACTGTCAATATAACGATTATGATGGATCAAATTAAGAAATTAGGTTTAAAAAATATTGATCTATTTGTAGAAGGTAGTTTTTTTTTTGTTATGGAGTATTAGAGAGAATATACAGAACGGTAGTTGCAGCAAGATAGAAAATCTAGATCTATATACATTATTGTGTTGCATTTCTTCCGTTCAAGTTGCACAAAGTCAATGCCAAAATTGTCGATCAAAAGGTCAAAAACCCAACTCATCAATTTCCTTATCAGCTTCTTAGTTTGACCTGAAACCTCATAGACTAATTCTTTCCTTTATCCAACTGGCGTAGCAGTCATGTACATTAGTTTATAGGTATAAATGTACGGTAAAATACTCTTCACGTAGGTGATTAGTCATGTATGCACCTCTTATTATTTGATTTGACTAAAATTCCATTTTTTCTAAACTTCGAGCATTATTATTAGAACTCCTAAGATTTCTATATCTCTTTTTTGGTTTCAAGTAGAATGCTTGATCGATTTTACTACATCATCCCAAATCTAGAACACTGAAAGTTCACGAGTGAATAACTCTATTTCCCATTTTTCCAAGTCCAAAGACATCTTCATTTCAAAAACATATTAAACCTTTTGAAAATCCATCAAAATGCATTATTTTTTTTTTTACTCATTTGTCTTAAGTATAACAAAATTACCTTTTTTTTTTCCATGTAAATGAAGAATATCGTGTGATGTAATTCGAAACTAAGTAAAGTTGGAATTGGTTATTCTTGCATTTTGCCTATTAATCTGTTTCTTTAACGTTTTATTATTCATTTTTTTATTTCTGATTTTTTATAACCGTATCCCAAAGGTTTCTCCAGTCTCCTTCCCCCTGTATAAGGTTCGAATCGTCTATATCTTCATCAGGGAAAAGCAGGATGTACGACTTCAACTATCAGATGCTTGCTAGTTATGCTTGACGGGCCCGGCTCAGACTTTTAGTCCAAAATTATAGACCAAAACTCAATTCAAAGACCCTGTTTAAAAATACAGACTAGACCTAGAACTGCAGATTAAAATCACTTCAACATACAGGCTAAGCCCACCGCATGATGAAAGAAGCTCAGTCAGGTTAGTTGCACCATCTTGAAAGATTGGGTCCACAACTGACACATAAAGAGATTACCGTGGGAGGCGGCCACGAAATTGTGTTGTCTATCACGAGAATAACGTCATCTCCACCAAACTACCTCACCTATTACAAGAATAATGCTTCAATCTGTTCAGAGACGTCTATAAATTATAAGTTCCATCTACACAAGAGGGACATCTCTCACATATCACTCACATCTAAACACTCTACACTCTTTAAGTAATAAAATACTCAGGTCATCATAGTTGTTCACAGTAGAGTAAGTCATTCTGACCGAATCACTTAAATTGTGTTTTGCTTGTGTTGACTTTCTTTCTTAATTAATATATTAAATATTTGACAAGTGGTAAATAAATACATTTTGTGCATCATCAAAACTAATTTCAAAAGCTCTGTAGCTCTCAATTTCTTTTTCTTTTCTTTTTTAAAATAGTACCCATTTGGAAAGTAATTACTGTAATGTGAAATAATGATGGGCCTTGTTCGGCCTTCAGGAATTTATATGAAATAATTATGAGCCTGGTATGGGCTTCACTGTCACTTAAAAATGATGGGCCATAATTGGGCTTAGTTTATCATGGATTTGATTATGATTATGGCTTTTGATTGGTTCATTGCGAATCGTCCTTGAAAAGCTATGGACATTAATCGGGCTTTATTAAGTAGCTATATCATATGTTGGGCCTAAGCCCATATCAGAGGGATAACCGCGTCCAGTCTTGGACTCTCCACGACCGTTGGTCTCTTCGGTTGGTAAATTGGTAATAAGCACGACGGGAATCGAGAGGCGTGCGCTCTCACGCTGTATCCCTTTCCCACAAAACAAAAACGACCAAAGAGGAGAGAGACAGAGAGAATTTAGGAAAATAAAAACAAAGATGAATCTTGGTGGCGGGACTGGTGGCGCCGGCGACGACTCGTCCGCCTCCTCCTCGCTATCGCAGTGGTGCTACTCCGTGTCACAAAGGTACCAATATGTCCTCGATAAATCGACACCACACGTACTCCGCCGTTGGATCGGGTTCTCTTTCGTCGCATTAATCTACGCTGTACGCGTGTACCTGGTCCAGGGATACTACATCATCACGTACGGGCTTGGAATCTACATCCTCCAGCTATTGATCGCATTCCTGTCTCCTCAGGTAGATCCCGAGATCCAGGAACTCAGTGACGGTCCTTCACTCCCCACCCGTGGATCCGACGAGTTCCGGCCCTTCGTTCGCCGCCTTCCCGAGTTCAAGTTCTGGTGTGTTTCTTTTTCTCTTTGTAATAATTGATTCAGATGATGAATTATAAAATATGTACATCTGTATTTGTATGAACGTATGTATGCAGTGTTTGGAGTATCAGATTCTGGATCAGGTGATAGTAATCCTTCAGATGTGGAAACTATTGTCTTTTAATGGTTATAGATCTGAATTAGTCTGGTTCAGCGTTGACAGTTTAATTTTCTCTATGTTTAATTGGAGTCTGAGCCAAATTTGAAAGTAGATTATTGTATTTAATTGTGCCCAGTATCTGAGGCCAAACTCCACCTTAGGCTTTAGGTAATTGTGTCTTTTCACACTTGACAGTACCTGTATTTGGTTTTTTCTAGGCATTGCTGTTGTCCTTGAAGCGCCATAAGTTTTATCTCGATATGGAGATGAAATAGCATTAGCCTTACACTTGCCAAATTTATGGTGCTTGATAACAACCCTTGCAAAATCAAGTCTTCAGTTTTGATAAAAACCCAAAGTTGCAAGTTCTAAAATTACAGAACACTGCTGAGAAAAGAATTGATGATATATATTACTAGCTTATTCATCTGATCTTGAAGGCTGGTTGTACCTTCGAGCAGCTTCTGTGTTTTTATCAGAGATAAAGATTAGTTAACAACTAATCTTATCCTTGTTTGAATTCAACTTGTATTGCAGATCTAGCACTTATCGTTTCTTATCTTTTGTATCAAATTCGAATCATTTCATTGGTCTACATAAGACCATCCATTGTGACATATGTTCTGTGTGAAAAATATATACAAAGCAGAGTTTCTCATAGTTATTAGTAATAACCAAAACAAATGCCAATTTTTAGCTGCAAGATGGGAAATTTGAGTTTTGTTTTTCAATCTGTGGAAAATTTGAGTCTTGTTCCTCAATCTGTATGACAGGCACTCAATCACAAAAGCCTTCTGCATTGCTTTTGTGCTTTCATTCTTCAGTGCATTTGACGTGCCTGTATTTTGGCCAATTCTATTATTCTATTGGCTGGTGTTATTCATTTCAACAATGAAGAGGCAGATAATGCACATGATTAAATACCGTTATGTTCCGTTCTCCTTGGGCAAACAGGTATTTGATATTGCAAATGATTAAATACACAATTTTGTTGAGTTGGTGTGTAATGAATTCTCCTTTTATTACATCTTCCACTTGGCACTGTACCCTCAAGCCTGCAATGTGATTGAAGTTTTTTTTCCTGTTTTTCAGCGTTATACAGGGAAGAAAGTAGTGCCCACTGACAACACGAACACTGCAAGGCCTTGAGGCTCTAGCTAGATTGAACCATTTAATGCTACAGACTCACAGGTTTGTTTAGGGCATTAAATTCTATTACTCTTGAAGCTGGAGCTTTTCGAAGTTTGGCGGAAGCAATCAACTCTATGCTCTTATGTTTGATTTTTTTTTCTTTTAAGCTCTTATTTTAAGCTAAGCCCCCTAGGATCTTCTTTGGGAGAAGAAGAATGAGGTGGTTTACCTACTGCCCAATACTTTCTTATTAAGTGCTCCACCCTTTCGATAAGAAATTGAGTTATTTAAATCTGTCTCAATGTATAGATTGAATTGCCCTGTGTAATGTATTTAATGTAGAAATCCTAATGCAAATTTGAGATTTTTCCCATATGTGCTTGCGCTCTGTCTGTTTTTTTTTTTTTTGGAAAACCATTCTGCTTGTTAAGTGTGCGCCATTTCACCTGACTTCGAAGAACAAGTTTTGCTTAGATTTGGTTCTCATGCTGGCTACACTCTCATTTTTTCTAGATTTTGTAAATGGACCCGTGAGAAGTTTTTATTAGAATGCTCATTCCCTGAGAGGACAAGGAAAAGAAAAGAACGCAATTAATGAACAGGAAGGGATGGTCATTCCTTGGATGTTCTTTCTGAGTAAGTGCCCTTTTGCCCAACAATTTATACTTCTTAGGCTTCCAAGTTGGGCTGATACCTGCTTGCTGCTTTTGATTCTTAGCAAAGTTTTAAGCTTGGAAGTTTGTTGTAGGATTTGTAGTTAGTGCTCCTATCCATCGAATTGCCATTGGGGTAGGCATTGATGTTATCATGAGGTTGTTTCATTATGGCTTAGATGTAGTGTGTTCAATCACGAAAACAATCGCTCACCATGCAACTTGCATATATTTGAATCCCCTCAAAACCACTTTAATGAAAGCCTCATGCATCGGGTTATGGTGTTTTATTCATTGAGTTGCAGCCATGAATATGATACATGTTTTCTAGTGTGTTACCTCATGCTCCTTAACTCATTAAATGATAAAATCCAGATTATCTATATTACATTTTCATTCAATTTTTATTTAATGGTAAATCACTATCATGTATAAGTGAGGGTCCCACTTGTTAATTGTGGGTTTCACTTGATTATCTGATAGGCGATCTCCCATATTGAGTAAAATATGATAGCTAGTCATTTTTGTAGCAGTCAAATCTGACTGTATCCAGATGGCCACATTTAAATGTTAATTTGGACCTTCCGGATTAGTGCATTTTCACTTGTTTCATCAAATTTTTATAGTTAATGCTTTTGATTTGCTGGACATTAAACTCATAGACTATTTGGTGTGAAGGAAAAATGGTTGGATGGAAAGTGGGAGAGAAAAATGAGATGGATGGCAAGGAAGTGTCTCTTTTCACGATAGATGGTGAAGTGGTGGAAAGCCAAATTTCCTAAGAATAAAAAGAAGTTAACCCAAGGGGCTGTTTGTTTACTGTCTTTGTCTTGTACTTTATGTTTTTGTTTTTAATTTTTGTTAAAAATGAAAACAAAAATATGTTTGATAACTAGTTTTTTTTTATATTAGTTATTTGGAAACAAAGACAAAAAAATGGAAACAAAAAAAAGATGTTTTAAGAAATAAGGGAAACAGAGACAACGCACGCAAGGACCGAGAGAAATTAATGAGATTCAAGCTTCGACTCAACAAAACATATTGTTGAAGTATAAAAATTCATTTAATTCTCTCCCCTTTTTTGTGCAACGAGACTCTCAGTTCGTTCGCCATCCCCTCTCTCTCTCTTTCTCTTTCTCACTTCTTTGTCTGTGCAACAAGACAAAGAAGTTTGACAGTGTGCTATGTTTACTTCTGTGTGTCTATGTGTGTTCTCAGTGTGTGATTATGAGTTGGGCATGTGTATGTGTATGAGTTGGAGTTGGGTTTGTGTATGTGTATGAGTTGGGTGTTTTAATGAATGTCAACTTGCTCTCCACCTATTCGATGAAATGTTTGACAGCAAAACCAATTGGGTATCATTCCAGCAAAATCACAGTGCCACCAACTCAAAACAACCAATTGGGTATCATTCCAGCACTACAATCCATACCCCCCAAATTGAAGTTGCAATTAACTACAAGTGAACTACTTTGATTATTTGGATGGAGTAGAAATTGTTACGGCTGTAACGATTGTACCAAAAGTGAACTGCTTTGATTTTTCTGGTCCTGTGTGCATGCCCAGTGAGGTTAAATGGCTTTGTTGCAAAACCTTAGGGGTTTGCTTGTTCTAAGGATCAAAAGGGTCTTGGTGTGTGATAATAAGGGTTGAGTAATAGGTCTGGTATCTGGTTGATCTGGGTGCTGTGAAGTTGTTGTATTCGAAGTGTGCGGGCTCGATCCTGCACGATATATAAAATATTGGGAACAGATCTTTCCCCTGGTGAACTTTGGGTGAGCCGGTTGAGTAGCCAAACACGCTGCTTGAAACAGCCTACAAGGTACGGTGGCAACCGGAAACGGCAAAGGGAGATCCTGGGAAAGGAGGAACGATCCTGTACGTGTGAAAGGTATTTCCTGGAACAAAGGAGAACAAGTTAGAAGGGCGCCGGAGTGTTTTCCGGCGTATCCCCTCCGACGGTCTAGTCAGTCTTTGAATGAGAGAGAGGAAGGAGAAAACACTGAGAAGGATATTTCGTAGTATGAGAGTTTGAGATTGCATACCCGCTTTGTCTTTTGGGAGGGGTATTTATACCTTAGAAGATCATGATTGCTGTCAGTGTGGTCAGTAGGTGATCATCAGGCACAGGTAGCGTGTGTAATCATTTGATGAGGAATGTCTTCTCTAATTGACTGCTCGGGGTCCCGAGCAATCAATGGTGAGTTGTCGGGACGCCGACGGTACAATATGCTCCTTTCGGGAAGGATGCAATAAATGCTCTGTAATAGGAGCATTTATTGCCTTTCATATCCGAACCTTACCGCATTAAATGCGGTCTCGTCAACAGAAGGGTGCAATTAATTGTTTGCTTTCCCAAGTCGCGTGCCAGCAGCGGCATGCGGTTTGTCTGCTTCGGATGTGACATTATTTGCCACGCGTCCATCCCTTATTGGCTGTTACGTCGGTATTCCAGCACGTTCTGACATTACTTGTGTAAGAAGAGGTCATGATGAATAGTCCATACTGGCATAGGCTGATGTCCAGTATGTCAGTAGCTTTATCCGGGAGTAGAGGAAGCGTCCAGGATGGAGTGACCCTCGGCACCGAGGAAAGGCTTACCTCGGGGACCGAGGGTGGTATGTTTCCGAGGTACACGTGACCGAGGACACGTGTTTGTTGTATAATACACCGATGTGTGATCCTATATGAGAGGTACCTCGGGGTAGAGGACGTTCTTCGCCGATGGTGCTTACATCCGGGCAACACTGTTCCAAAAACCCCGAGGACACGTGTCTTCATCTCAGGGCTTTTCAGAAGAGTCCCATCAACTGCCCCCCAGCCTTCGATCTTCTGACACCGAGGACACGCGTTGTCAGGAGACGAAGGGTTTTCCAACTGCCATCCGTCCTTCATTATGGCCTCGAGCAGCTTTCCCCGTCTTGGGATGTCGTGCGCATTAAATGCGCTGTTTTTGGTTCTCCCGCCCAATGATGACAGTTTCCCCCCTATATAAAGGGGGTTCTTCTCCGGTTTCCTTCGTTTTGCCATTCCGATCTCTGACCCAGAATACGCCCTTTCTGATCTGCTCGCCGGAGTTTTTGTTTCCTCAGCCATCGTCGACAGCATCTTCTCTTAAAACCTCAGTCAGTAAAACCCATTGTTGACTCCTGGTCCTTCCGGTGCGAGTCATTTTTCAAAGTTTTTCCTGAAAAAACTCCGTTTCCGACGTCTTCTGGTGAGTTTCACAACCTTCTTCTTTATCGTCCTCCTAGCCTTCTTGTTTTCCGATTTGAACGGTGGTGTCATCCGGTCGGTACGTCTTGATTTAAACCCTCGGGGAACTTCCTCAGGTTTTCAAGAGAGAACACCTTTTCCTTCCCTTTCTTTTAGAGATGCCTCGTCGTCGCCCTGTTCCCGAGAATCCATCGGCTGGTCCCTCGGGGTCAGGGAAATACAAGGTGACAGGCGAGGCGCAGATCGATAGGTTCAGGGCGAAGTATGGCATCCCCCCGAGCGTGGACGTAGTGGGCTTTAACCCTTTGTTGAACTCTCCTACCTTCGGGGCCGCGGATGCCATGCCTTTCTATACCAAGGCCATCATAGAGGGTGGCATTAGGTTTCCTTTACCCCCCTGCTTCTTCAGTTCCTGTCTCGCTTCCGTCTCTTCCCCGGGCAATGCTGCCTCAACGTCTTTCGGATAATTATGGGGGTCCTAGAGCTCAATAGGCGCCTCGGGGTGAATATTGGGCTCAATGATCTCCTTTTCTGTTACTCCCTCCTAAGAGTCATGCCCCACCAACATTTCTACCTCAAAGCCAGGGACCCCTCCATGTACCTTGTAACCCATCTTCCTGACTCGGACAAGGGGTACAAGGACGACATCTTGATCTTCAAGGGATGTTGGGAGAGGGGTGTCGGTCCCGAGTACAATGACTTATTTTGCCCTCGGGAATGGAGAACGACAAGTACGTCGGTTCCTTTGGGTTCTTTATTTGTTTCTTGGGACTTCTCATGTTTATGACAATCTTTTTTGTTGTGCAGGTATTCCTTCTCGGGAAACAGCTCCACCCCCTCGGTCGCTGGTCAATTTTGCCGACCTAATAACGGTTTGGAGTTTCACGGGCGCCGACGGATTTGGCCGAGCTGCCCATAATCTGCTGCACTATACCCCCGGGTATAAGAAGTTCTCACAGCTCCCTCAACCTTTCGAGCCTTCGCAGTGGTCAGAGCTCTTTGATCAGGCGGCGAGGCTAGAGGTCGAGCAGAACTTGGAGGAAGACCCGGATCGGGCTTCAGAGGGAGAGGTAGAAGGAGTTGCTGAGGTCGGGGTCAGAGAGGACGTTGCTCCTTCGGACGCCGAGGTGGGGACTTCGGGAGGCGACTTGTGGCCTGATTTTCAAATTCTCCAATCTTTGGACGCCGAAGACGCTCTCGAGGAAGCGATGTCCAACGCCCCACGCATCAATTTGGGGTTTCTTAGGCAGAGGCAATCCCTCGCAGCCGGGAGAGGCCGAGGGACGACCGGCGGTACTCCGGCAGGAACCAGTTCCGCCAATTCTTCGAGGGCTCCCGGTCAGGGTCAGGTGCGAGACCGGGATCCTCAGGTGGAAGAAGAGAGAAGGGTAAAGCATCGGCATGACGGCCTCAGCCGGGGACCCAGGGCATCCCCCGCTCAACCTCAAAGCGGGAGGGATCGTGGGTTACCGCCTGCTCCCCCTCAACAGCAACAACAACAGCAGCCCCGACAACAGCAACAACAGCAGCAGCAACAACAACAGCAACAACAGCAGACCCCTCCTCCCGTTCCGCCTCGGGGGGAGGCCGCAGAGTGGAATCCCCGAGCCACTGATCACATGAACAGAGTGATCAGGGTCGATGATTCTATTCTGTCGGATCCTCATGTCGCTAATGCAGTGAGTGAGACACTGCATTTCGAGGCCGACATGGAGGCTCATAGGGGGCGATCAACCAACGTGTTGTTCCGCTCCATGATCCAGAATTCCCTGGTGGTGAGTTTATTCCTGTTTTGATCCCTTCACTCTCGTTTTCTATTTTTGCGATTAACACTTCTTTGTTCCTTTGCAGGCTACCCAGCAGATTTCTATCATTGCTGGTCGGTACCATGCGTCCAGGATGGACCTTCAGAGGGCCAAGGATCAGAAGGCGGAAGCGGAAGCTGCCCTTGCTCGGGCAACGGAAGATGTTGTTGCCAGGGATTCTACCCTGGTGGGGCAGGCTGCCCAAATAGAGCAACTCCTCAAGGACGCTGAATCGGCCAAGTCGGGCGCTGAGAAGCTAAGTGCCGCACT